GTAGTGTACAGCATCGATTTCTGTGGAACCCAGTAGCTGTCAAAACTTTCACATTTTTACGAATAACTCGGAAATCGTAAATTTTTCAGGTAAAACGTTTGACACAAACTTAACTTAAATTTTGACGACAAANNNNAAAATGAATGAAAAAAGGGGCGGTTCCATTTAAAAAACCAAAGTTGGTAACTACCACACGTTTATGATACACCCCGTATATTGGAAAGTAATTTTGAAATGTGGACCTTTTAAACATGAAAAACTTTCGTAGGACGTATTTTCTTGTAAAGTTCATATTTACTGAGATATCGCACTTTGACGCACTAATGAGCAACCCTGTATATATACACGTCCTGTGTATTGTAGGAAGTTCAACCTGCGAGCAGTGTTGATGGCCTACGGGGTCAACGCCGCTAAACCTTCGAGAGGTCGTCAACGTGAACTCGAAAAAGTTCATTTTCTTCAATAAGATTTTGCCCAATAAATAAAGAATCTCGGATATGATAAGGAAATAAAGACAATGAATCGTACTATTTGATCATATTAATGACTTGACGACGCCACTGAACTCCAAGGCGACTTTCTACCTTTAGCAGCAGCCGCCATGTTGATTACTGTACAATTTTAGCATTCGCCTTTGTCTGTCATGTGAACGAATGCCTCGAATCTCTTTGTTTAGCAGGTGTGCGCATGCGCTATTGCCAGTTTCGAGCATATTCGTATCCTCGACCCAACCCGAAATCAAATCTAAACGCCAGTCAGTTGAGGGAGACGTCTAAGCGGGGACGTCCACCTCGCAGTGTATTTTCGATTTTATTCATTTTTCTTGCAGTTTCTTAGTTCAATTTTAACTTTGTCTTTGCTTGGTATCAACAGGCAACTTTTCAGAGTTGGTTTGGATTATCAGTGATCAGTTTTATAGTGTTTTTTCGAATGCGCATTAATCACGGTGGGCCTGTGAATTTGACTGTCGTCCAATGGCGTAGGTAGTCAATCACTTGCTGCTTTGAGTGCGTGAAAAACTGATTATTCTCAAGCTTAGAAGGAAACAAACTTCTGGAATTGTGCGTGCACTTATTAAAATCAATCGTTATCTTTTCGATAGCTAAGTGGATTCTGAGGAAAATTAACTTCGTTCTTTGTTGGACGTCCTTCAGGCCAATCAGCTACGCATTGATTAGAAACAAAGCGTAAGTACATATTTCTTTGTTTTGTACAAGACTTATTGTTTTGTAAAATGTCGTGCCATTTGCCCCCTTATGTTACGTCATCATTGTCTATAATACGCAATTAAGACGTCATCCTACGCCGTAATCATTAGCAGGAAGTTTCATCATCATCCTGGTCGATGGTCGTATTTGCAGGTGATTTTTTTAATTAGCATCGATATCGGCAAAGATTTCAAAGAAAGAAGTTACCCGAATTACTCATAAAGCATTGCGCATTTCCAAATAGAGGTTAACTATGCTGAAACGTGGTTTTCCGATAAAAGCTATCAAATCAGGTGCTTGAAGTCGAGCTTTATTTTATGTGTTACCTTGATTGAATAGTATGTTCGAGAGTCAAGCAACTCTGACAGTTTTCGAATTTCTCATCGGTGTTTGTGTTACGGTTTTAGTGTTTACGAAGAAACCTACTTAAAAGGTAACCCAAGTACGCCAGAACCTTTCTTAATTATTTTCCAATCATCATGTAACATGTAAACCATCGTATCTGGGAAACAAATCGTTCGGAGATATCTGTCTACCTATAAGAGCTTTTCTGCGTGTTTTTGTGGGTCCTAGTAGTGAAAACATGCCACAAATTGAAAAATTTACAAGAAATAACTGGAAACCAACGCACAATGGTTTACACACAAAACTGGTAATTTCAGCTAGTAAATGATGTTTCCTGTACTAGCAATTTAGTACTCAAAATGTACGTAAATCTCGTTGCAATTCCACTTTGTTTAAGTTATAAAATGTGTTTTTGTACTCGATTTATCAATGTCAGGAATCATAGGAACAAAATTTGGGGTCGAACAATAGCAAATGGTTTAAGTTTGTAACATGAAGGTGTAAAACTGCATGCTACTTTCTACACAAAGGGTGCAAATTAACAAGACAAAACCAAAGGTTGGGCTTTACGGTTCCTCCAGACTACGTAGACTTCGTTTTTCTGTTTGGTCTAACCTTCACGGTTTTACGAGACTTCGACATAAAGTCTGTTGCAGTTTCCAAAATTGTCAGCTTTCAATTAAAAATATGTTTTAATTAAACGATATTTTCTCGCAAGATTGCAAATTGGACATGCAAAAATTCACGATATACTTATGGTAAATTTTTCAATTTATTTTACACACTTAGCACAGTGCTGTTCCAAATGTGACCCTGTTTTCAGCTTTAGATATCTCTATCTGGTAAACTCTTTAATTAACCGTAGACCCAATAATTCTTGTTTATTATCCATACTTGTATGAGAACCAATTGCCGTGTTCCATTAGAAAAATTCTACGTTTTGAAACGCACTGGGTGAAAAATAATTTTAATGGGTGGCATCAGCAATGATTTGTGCATCGACCTAAAAAAAAATGAGTTGATTTCATCCTCAACTAAAAATCTCTGGTAGTTTTTGTACCACGACACTCAAGGATTCACCACTTGTCCAAAACTGATGAACACGTTTGTTTCATCAAAATATGAGTCTTACATAAGAACAAATTCACAGCGAGTTTCACTAAAATACATCCGTACCATTCCCCCGATTTTTCAAAAAAGATATTTTTTTGAAGAACTGACCATCAATAGCAGAGGAGCCAGACATTTTTTGCTAATAAAAGTTAGGTCAGATCGTCTTCTTTTGATCCAGAGAATATCGCAGTACCTGAGCTTACGGGACACCCTGTATATCGATCACCGACCTCATTTCAGGTACAAACTCTGCTTCAAGGCAAGACCAAAATAAATTGCTAAACATTACTGATAAAGCGAGCTTGAAACTTTAAAGAGCAATTTCCTTCTAGAAAAGACCTACTTTCACAACTGCTGATAAGACGCCACCTTGTAGGTACATTTACAATATATCCTTTTCCCGTCGTGACGTAGGGTTTATGCGTATTGGCGGAATGTTTTTGGAATTTGTCTTGATATGATTAGGTACCTATGAAGGTGATTCATTTATCGCATTCTGCATGATTCATTTATATAAGTAAACGTTTTATGATTCATGCCGTTAATTCACCTTTAAAAATTCTGAGGTTCTGGCCTGATAAGTTTATTTTCCTAGATTTGCCGTGCCATTCCATAAAAATCTAATCTAATCTAAAAGAACAGTTTATCTCGTTATCGGAATTCTGATATCCGTTCTCGTTAAACTCATTGTCTGGGGAAAATCGATTAGGCCTTCGTGGGTTTGGAGGAATCGTCGACTTCTGTGAAAATAATGGCTTTAACCAGTGCAGATGTGTGCAAACAGGTTTTCCGAATTTCAATGCTTTCACCATGGTTGGCGATTGTACTACCGCGATTGGTTCCGTTATGTTGGCGTTGGAAGTGGTTTGAGATTGAATTAATTTAGTTTGTTGGGCAGTCTTATTCCAAATATGGTATGAGGCGACCTTGTAAAGGATTTAGATGTGTTTGGAACCGGATGGAACCTTTTGTAATCAGTTTCTTTTAAAAATGCGTTATTTAGCAGAATTAGGTTTTAGGAAATAGGTTTTGCCTTAAATGATTTTGAGAGTTTTCAGGTTAGTCAACAAGTTGGAAATGGGTTACCTACTTGGAGGAATCGGTAATATTTTGAATAGTGTCTGCTTTTTATTAATTTGAGACTAAAGTCAATACCTTGCAATTGAAAACTGCAAACTAAAATTGACTACGTGACTAAAAAATACGCATTATTATTGTTCAGTAGAATGCAGATTTGGTGTTCACTTAAAACATGTAAAGTTTGTCTTCAATAATCTTTTATCCTTCTGCAAAACATATTTTAGTTTGAGTACCGTATTCAATTTTCTATATTGCCTTTGGTAAATATGCTGCATCCGAAAATATCAGGATGTAACTTGGTGGTAGAATTTTGCTGTTTCCATTCGCGATCCTAAAAATGCGTAAAAAGTAATGAATTAGAATCGAGTTAATCAAGAATTAATATTAGTTGTTCAATATTAAGACTAAAAAAACTGGCAGCCACTGTACATTTCGTAGTTTTATGAATTGTACAAAGTGATCAATTTATAAACTTTAAAGACAGAGAAGCCGGAAAATCTATTGAGCCAAGCAATAAAAAAGTAGAAAGACACACTTTGTATATTGGAGAGTTTCAGGTTGATTTAAAAAAAATGTTGATAGTGAGTGGGTGAAAGAACCCTTAGGTTTTAAACAGATCTTTAGACGTCAAACGGAAGTTTTCACTTTCTATTTGTTGTGACCGGAAAGAGTCCTTTGACCGACGATAAGAACCGCAAGCGTGTGTTGAGTTCAGCGGATGATATACCGTTTTTTCTTTTTCTTGCCACGGAAACCACCGAACACCCAGTCAAGGCTAAGCGACCTGTTGTTTTGCCTGGTTAAGGGCATTCAACTCATTTAACAGTTCGTTCTTGTTTGCCCTTTATGGTTTTTTGTAGTATCTTGCGAAGTGAGTTCAGTTTTATAAAAGCTGTTTATGTAAACAAAGGCCTTTCGTGGTTGCATGTAAATGGCCACCTGCCGCTTCACACTTTCCAACCACCTGCGGATGAAGGTGAGCCTGATGTGGCTTTTTTTTAGTTCGGTTACTTCAATAGGGTTTCTCAAGATTTATTAACTAATAATAAATAATCTGTTCAATTTATTGACAGCTATTTTCACTGGCCGTGCACGACTTTGTTCTCGGTTTCAATAAAGTTCAATTTTAGTAACATCAGCATACATTTTAGCTGGCAAAAGATGGCATAGGTTCAGGTGCGTTGGATTTATCGTTCAATAGCGGCAGGAAAATAAGACACAGTTTGTCTTGGGTCAACGTTTCGGCTATAATATAAAGTGAAAATCCATCACGAGATCCATCCGAGAAAAAAGTGTGATTCCAAATATTTTCCACTTTTGCATTTGCATCAAGGTTTCACACATTTCAGTGCGGTCAAAACTTCCTTCGAACTTCGAACTTTAAATAGTAGTCGTACTTAATATTTATTGTGTTTTATTCGTATTATTTAACTTTATTGTATTCAGTTAACTTATTTACATTTAATATCTGCATCGGAATATGGAATATCGTTTTCGAATATTGAACAGCGTTATTTGCTTCGGTTTGTCTTTGGCGATGTGTTTTAAAGTGAAATATAATCAGCAGGCAAAAAGTGACATGACTGTGGGATATTTGATTGGCTCAGGCATCAATTTGATATCTAGCAACTTTTGTATGATGGTATGGAATTCGAAGGATGAAAAATTGGTACACCAAAAACTTTTTGAAGAGAACACTATGTATGTCCCTCCTAATGAAAAATGTGGTATTTTGTGACTTTCTAGTTAATTCTTCTGAAGACATTAATTTCTTGAAAAGAAGGTTTTTTTCATGATAGTGGCATTTTTTTATCAAAAAATACCATCTCAAATGCTTCCTCTACAGTAACACCCACTTCAACATTCTTGGTGGGGTTTAAACATTGTAAGAACTTCAATACTTCAATACAGTTTCTCAAGATTTATTAACTTATAATCTGCGCAATTTATTGAAGCTATTTTCAGTGGCTGTCCACGACTTTTTTCTCGGTTTCAATAAAGTTCAATTTTAGTAACATGAGCATGCATTTTAGCTGACAGAAGATGCCATTGGATGGCATAGGTTTAGGTGCGTTGGATTTATCGTTCAATAACGGCAAAAATAGGACACTGTTTTTCTTGGGCCAATGTTTTTGCTATATTATGTATAAAGTTAACAAACCATCGGAGCAAAAAGGATGATCCCACATATTTTGCACTTTTGCGGGTTTCACACATTTCACAAAGCATGTTATATTTTGTGACTTTCTAGTTAATTCTTATGAAGAAATTAATTTTCTGAAAAGAAGGGGTTTTTCATGCTAGTGGCATTTTTTCCCACCCACCAACGTGGGGTTTAAACATTGTAAGAACGCTAGTTTCTCGCTGAATTTTTTGTTGGTTTTGTTATATCCGTAATTCGTTCACCAGTTCAAACAGTTTTCCACTACATATCATACATCTCCAAGATAAACTTCGATAAAGCGATAAACCGTTGGGAAACAGTCAGTTTCACGTAAACTTTTATTTGTATGCCTCGATTTCTCGATTAAAACCGTAAAGTAGGTTAATAGGTTGAATTACGAAATCATTCAGTACAGTCCAAGTTCCGTTGCACTTGTTTCATTAACAAAGAAAGTGATTGCATTTCAGTGTGTGCTTCCTAGATTTTTGCATAAATGAATTGAATTGAAGGTCGGTGGAAGATTGTATTTGAATTCGTTTCATTTCATCATTGTTGTCTGCTGTGGTGGCAACTGTTCACTACGGGATGGGTTTTTACTCGAGCCAACAGGCATTTTGAAAGGCCGTTTTCTTATAACGGATTGTTGCACGTTCTTGCAAGCAAGTAGGTCGCAACATCGCTTGTAGAATTCCGGATTAGCAAAACTAGGTCGTGTCTGATGTCAGTAGGGGCGTCTGAAATTCTGATAAATAGGGCAAAGGGAGCATAGGGACAGAATAAAGGGCCATTAAGGAGAAAACTTGAGTTTTCCTTATTCGCATACACCACATGTATGCGAATATAAAACATGTATGTTTTGTTTGTGTTACCTCAAATATTTTTTATCGTCATTAAGGGACGCAATTGTCTTTTCGAAGCTAGGAAGATGATTCGAAGTTTGAAGCAGTTACTGAATATGGCAAAAACTTCGGAGTAATTTTGTCTGACATCATCCCTGATTAAGTAGTAGTTTATACCCTCGAAATATGTGGGGCTTTTGACATCTTTGATAAGTTGATTGTGAAGAAAACTGTATGTTTTTGCCAAACTTTTATCTGAAGTTGCTTTAAGATAAAAATAAAAATGTATAGGAATAATGAACATATTATAATTAGATAATTCCTTGTGATTTCCAGTAGACGGTTCATAAGCCATATGTCATTTAGACAAATGGATGTAAACATTTAGAAAAACTACTTGTTATTTATCATTAACAACTTCGCTTGTGCTTGTATTAGTCGTCATTCCTTTCCAAATAATGTAGCAAAGAAGGCAATGTGTTTTGTTTTGTTGCAGCATTTAGAACGCAACTGAACCCCATAAAATTAACTGGGTAGTTGAACAAGAACCAGTCAATTTCAATTTGACTTTCGTGCACGAGTCGGTTTCGAGATGGAGCGTGAATCAAACCCTATGCAGGCTCTATGTCGGTCTGGCTGTGGATTTTATGGGAGCCCTGCGACGGATGGACTCTGCTCACTTTGTTATAAAGTAAGTGCATTATACAGTTTTGATTTTACAAGCATATAATTTGTATCTTTATTATTAGGAACAGCTGAAGAAAAAGCAACAACTTCCTACCAATACACCAGCTAGTCTTAGTTCCTATCGGGAAACTTCCACAGCTCAACCAACCATTAGCCATCTTCCAACCCAAACTGTCTCTGAATTAACTACAGAGGTAAGTTTTAAATAAATCCGTAATGTAAAAATATATTCTTGGGAATAATCTAAGCTGATACCCTCACAACTGGACCATACTGAATCCCCTTTGCCTAACAAGACGGATACTTTACTAGAACACCTACAAACGCAACTGAACTAACGACTAAGACCTGTTTGTTTTGTGGGCCGGGAATTTTTTTTTCTTTTTTTTTTATCACTGATTGAATTATACCAGTGTTACTTTGATTCTAATATATATTATTATAAAGGTCTCTAGCGATCACCTTAACTAGGTATTGAGTTTGTTGAGTTGAGTATCTGTTTAACTGAACGATTGAATAACGTGCATGTACCTACATACATATAAGGACCAGCGGACGATATGTGATGATTTATAACAATGTCCTCAAGTTGTTCTTGTCATGGAGCATTCTACGCCCATCTAATTTTTTTTAACCGGATCGTTCTTAACTTTAATATTAAACATGTTGAGAACGCGACGTCGCGAACGTCTGCTTATCTGGAATCCAAATTTTTAGTGGCCATATTCCTAATACAAATGATTTCGCTTCCACGTTTAAAAGGTAAAGTATGTAAACACCTTTTTGATCGTGTTAAATTAGCGCACCGTCTGCGTCAATCATTGCCAAAATTTCCAAGTAGTATGTCAAAAGATAACTTGCAAAAGTCATCCTCAAAAACCTCGAACACGAGCAAGAAATCGGTATCGAATGACAGTTTTTCCACAACAGTTAAGTTTGCTGATTCCAACAGCTTTGTCCCATCCTTTATAATCGAGGATTTAGAGAAAATCTGTCGGACTGCAACACAGGTGGTTAATGTTAAATTAGTCCTTTGCGTCCTACTCGTAGGTATATTAGAGTAGTTGTTTTTTCAGAGTGCTGAAGAGGCACAATCACCTTCACATCAATCCTCCGTGGCGGCCGCCGCAGTGGCAGCTGTTGTCATTCCCGCTGATGAAGCTCCTTCGCCCGATCCAGCGTCTCCATCCGGCTCTTCGGACACCACGACGTCCGGTCTCGACGAAAAAGACAGCGACAAGGATGCAAAGAAGAAAAAGAACAGATGTGCTACGTGTCGTAAGAAGGTTGGATTAACTGGTAAGCATTGTAATAAGTTTTTTTTATGTGTTTTTAGATAGGTCAGTTAAATTGAAACGACAGGCAATTTGCCTTCCAACAGTTAAAACAGGATGTTGCAAAGTTTTGGAGAATATTAAGGTTTATAAGAGACGGTAGAGTGGCGATGAATCAATTCGGTTCAATTTAAGGCCGGGTCACATCTATCCGATCCGACTCCGATCATACAATCGGACGAAGATCTGAGAGCAAAATGGTACTGGCCATTCAACGCCGTAGTTCACAAATTTCCGCTACCTGTCCGATCCGTCTCCGTTTTTGTATCCGATCATATTCCGATTTTACTGGTTATTCGATGGGTATTTGCTATCCGATTGTCGGAAGGAAAAACGGTCCGCATTTTAGGTTGCGTCAGTGATACATTTGGTTTTTAATGGACAATATCTACAGTAAGCTGTAGATATTTAAATATTTTGATTGGGCTTACAGAATTTTACTGATAGAAAACAAACTCAATTATTAATAATGCACATGATTCGTCGCAAGTATTAATTTATATTACTGTTTACACAGCAACTGTATGTAAGGACTCTGGCAAGGAATATTGGAAAAATAACTACTAAAGTGTACATTGTAAACTGTTCATGGAAATTTATTTACTACTTCAGGTTTTAATGTTTTAATTCAACCCCTCATTTTGTAGACATTTTTATTCACTACAAATCATCTCATTGGGCATTCCGATTACTCCTTTATTATATAATATTATAAACAAAAAGACAAAAATCGCATCGCATTGAATTTTTGGCAATAAATTGTTAATAACTAATATATGGACCGGAAATACGAGTGGAAAACAAATCCCTATTATTCTGATTATTATCTTTTATATAATCGCACAATTAGTTTGCTACTACGATACTACTTTATTCGGTTAAGATAACTGTAAGCTGAATTTTTATTCGTAGTTTTGCCGAATCCTTGATAGATTTGCTTTACTTCTTCCTTCAGCGACAGCATAATTTTTTTCAAAGGTTTTCCCTACGCAACAAATTGAGTTAACACTCTTTGAAATTTGGCTTTATTGGCATGAATTATGTGGGAAACTGCGAAATGTTACCAAATAATTTTGAATAAATAAACAGAATGAACTGGCGCCGTTCGAAGCAGTCTAATATGACCCTCATTCCAGCACATTAAACTCCATTAGGAACTAACTTGTTCATTATTTGAACTTAAAAGTTAATTAATCACAGTAACAAATAACACACATTTATCTCTATGCATAAAGGGCATGTTTACCTTTTCTAAAGATTGTATGGAAATAAACTGGTCAACAAAATTAACATTACACAGTCAAATTTGCCCTAAGTTTGGAACTGGATAAATTCTGATTGCTTTTATTTGTGTTTGAAACGTTATTGAGTACCATTTGTTTTCTGTTAGTCAACGTTTTGATAACAGTTAAACAGCGTGGACATTTTTTCTACAGAGTGGCAAATGAAAAAATGCAAAAGTTCGGCATACTCCTAGCGGACAATAAAAGAGTTTTGTTGGATGCTGACTCCAAAAGTTTACAAATAAACCAAAATACTCGAAAGAGTTTTTGAAATTTTCGGCCATCGCTTCTATTTATAGTGTGGCCTAAAAAAGTCTGCTTTTTTGCTCTTGCAGCGATAAGTGTTCTGATCTTATTATTTATTATATTATTTCTGATATAACGGGGTTCATGAGAAATTACTCAAATCAGATATGCCCCCGAAATCTGTGATAGTGAGTGATAGACTTCAACTAAAGTGAAGCTAATTTTCAAATATATCGTTCATCCATTTAACCCTGCATATAAAAAAATAGGTCTAACTTTTTAAAGGCCTAACTTCGACATGAGCCCATTTTACTACTGGGTTTCAAAAAAAATGATCACTGCAAGACGAAACAGTTTATGTTTTTGGGACCACTCTGTAAATAAACTTCTTTTGAGATATGAGGTCTATCTTATACATAGTTACAAATTTTGATTTATTCTCCTGACTGCGTGTAATTGTTATTATATTTTTTCTTTCCTGGGTTTCAGTGAAACTGTGAAATAAAAATGTTCAAATCGTTTATGGGGTGTTTTTCAAATTTTTTGCTCCTCCAAAGATTTTTTCTCGTCTGCAACGTCATATAATATTAGAAAAATCACTTCAGATCTGCGAAGAAGTGCTATTGATTAAACTGAATTTTGCGACACCCTGTTTTTGACAATCCTTTTTTTTTATCAAATTATTGCCTAAACTGCGTCTATTACTAGCTGCAAAATAGGATTTAGTTTCGAAATTTGAATTGTGCTAGGAATGTAAATGTTCAAAAAAAGTCCGGATTTTTTCATTACGCCTTTGAGAACTGACTTTTTTTACCGTAGATCTTGATGCTCTACTACTAATGCCATGGATATTATGTGCTTTTCAGAAAATACATCTTTGTTACTCGATTTAACAGTTTTCCATTCGGTGTACTATCTGAAATTTATTTCTATTCTTACTAATTCCAAGACTTCCTTAGTTTTAATTGAATAATATTAATTTTCCCATCAACTCTATGCTATGAAACATTTCGATTTCTGGTCTAGTACACAGTACAAAACAGTAAATTAGGCAGTGTAATCAAGTTTTGTTAAGAGGGGTACTCTGGGGTTCCGTTGATTTGAAAATTGTTGTTTTTCTATAAATGGATTCATTAGTTAGGTAAAAAATGGTATTAGTTTGAGGAAAAATGCTGTAATTCCAATTGAAGTTTTCTATAAGCGGAAGTTTACTGGAATCGTATCATTAAGTTCACTTTTCCTCTGCAGTGTTCATACATACTTCTTAAAATCGCTCCCAGTTACTTTATGACGCTGTTGATAAGGCTAGGAAATAATTTCAATATAAAAAGTAATCAGATTGGATAAAATGAAAGGAATGCAATTGGTTTACTAATCTTAATTTGATGTATTTTTTCCAGGTTTTGAATGCCGCTGTGGGGGTCTTTTCTGTGCCGTTCACCGATACAGCGATAAGCACGACTGCAGTTTTAACTACAGGGAAATGGGAGCTCAAGAAATTAGACGTAACAACCCCGTTGTGGTTGGTGAAAAGATACAGAAGATCTGAGCCCCGCCACACGGACCACAGCCGTCTGAGTATCTCAACTCAGTGGGTGTGTCTAAAATCAAATTCGCATTACTATCTATTAATTACTGACTTAGTGAAGCCGAGGCGTGTTTCGTGATCGGTGCGATCTTAATTGATAGTTATCGATAATATTAGCAAAATTACGTGCCTCTCGCGCTTAGGACGAATAATTCGAGTGCTTCAGGTGGACAGTGCGTTGTGACCGGGCCAATATGGCAGGTTGTCGGTTCAGCTACGGTTTTCGTGGGAAAGTTAAGGGGTTTTAATTAGATTTCAATATTTTTCTGGTCTGAACCCTTTGTACCAAAGTACTGAGTGTTGCGTCAGGGTAGATTGTGCCGGACACTGAATACTTACTCTGCGGCAGCATGATCATTTGGAACGTAGATTTTTGGAAGAGCATTTTAAAACAAAGAGTTGCACGCACAATTAAAATTCTCTTCCAAAGCTGACCAACTGCCATTGTGTAAATTAGAAGACTTGTCTGTTCGATTACCATTACCTTATTATTGCCACTGAAATTATACTTCCGACGTTTAGTTTTTATTAAATAAATAAAAATTATTAGCTATGTACTTGTCATTTTAGCTTCTTTGTTATGTATATAGCCAATATTGTTTAAATGTTTTTCGGGCCTCCCAAAGAAGGGTTTGTTGCAAATTCAGGAGATATTTTCGGGTTTGTAATGGTGGTCCCAACGCCTCACTAACATCAAAATTACGCCGTACTCAACGCCAGTTTTTTTAAGCCGGCAATTTATATAATCAAACGCTCAACATTTCAATTATCTCAGAAAGCTTCAAAGGATATGAATGAAAATAAAATTTTCACCTATTCAATATATTGACTTAATCTACGTACGCTGAAATTATCTCTTTTACCGAATGGCTTGCTCTTACATTGATCGAAATTTACAAGTGCAATATCGAGTGTACAGTAAAAACTGAAAACATTCTGGACCACCTAAAATGAAACATTTCTTGCAAAGTTGTTAAAACTGTTAATACCAACCAACCTTTCTCATAGGTTTGCAATGTTTACTGGTTAGCTACTTTCCCTTTATATTAATCTTGTGAGTTGGATAGTTCAAAATGTAACGTTACTCTTCACAAATTAAGGCTTCTCTATATACAAATATTGGCTTTTTAATTCACAATCTTAATGTTACCATATCAGATTTGCTCTCAACTGTTTCCTAAGATTTTTAATTCGATTAACACACAGGCTTATCGGTTTGCTTACCCGAAAAAGACCATCTAATGAATATGTCCATTTGTTTTAATTTAGAGAATGTTCGGTTTTAGTTTCATATCCTCATTCTTTAATGTGCAAGTAGTATTTGTTAGGATTTGTTTAGGTTTATTAAACTGCGTTATTGATTTGTTTTTTTTTGTTTGGAATATTATCGAGCCTTGGCAATAACAGAAGCTGAATGAAGCATTTTTTTAATTGGAATACCTGATTAGTGGATACAACTTGTAATAAAAAAACACCCTTTATTTGATTATAGATTCTAGTCAGCTTTAGCATATCTAACAGATGACCAAATTGCTTATGTGTAACAAGATTACAGTCCTCAATCTATACTAGTTCAAATATGTGAAACAATAGGCGGGTTTTCAAATGATTTTTCTTGCTTAGAATTTATTCTGGGTGGGTGGGTAACGAGTTAACGGTTATTTCTTATTAACTTATTTTGAGAGAGGAGTTAATAAAATTAGTGATATTATTTTTAAGATGTTACTAGCGCCCAGTACATTCTAAAGGTAGTCGAGGCTTTACATTCAGCGTTCTTACTCTTGGTTGTACTATATCGAAAAAAAACCTCAGGCAAGCTTCTCTAAAGCACAACGTGATTAAATCGACGCTATTTACTATTCGTTTCCTGAGATTTTTGCTACTAGAATAACACAGGTTGCACTAATTTTTGGACTCTTTGTTATTAGACAACGTGGTTTGTGTTAATCATATTACGTTTTTTTTATTAGCACATTATTTTTCTGTCTATCTATAGTTTGAGCCATATTATATATCGTGCAAGAAAAAATTAGTAAATGCCAAAAAAAGTTTGTTTTCCTTATCATTTATCAAACTACAAACTGTTTACATATTATTATTATTCTATTACTAAGTAAAGCCTTGTGTGGCAATGTCTAATAAATCTATTATACAAATGTTCTGGATTTTACTTCTCCTTTTCCTCACGCAATCCCACAAGTTTTGAAACGAAGCTGCGAGGTTTTAAAGCTTCTAGGACTTCTACTTGGGATTTAGATGAAATGAAAGAGATTCGTATAATTGATTATAATGTATTTCTTGAGATGGGTTTTCGAGTACTGTACGGGTATAAAAGAGTATTAAACAATAAAAAATTACTGAATGAAATTTGTTGGTCTTATCCAATTATGTTCAAAATTTAAACATGAGTCTCATCTGGTTATCCTGTTTTATAAATCATCCAAAGCAGCCCTTTAGTTGAAAAAACTAAACATGAACCACATAGTACAAAATACATGCAAAAGGTGTTCCAATAAGAACGACGTACTTAAATTTCAATCAATACTATGCTATGCTACAAATAAAATATATTTGTAGCATGTTTGAAACATTTATTTAAAAAATAAAGTGCACATCATGAGGTTATGAAAGGAATAAGACATCGAACAAATGAGCGGTGCCTCGGCTTTGCTGGCACAGACGTGCTCTTTTTGTAAAATTTTCAAGGACTATTGCGCATGAATTTTGCGGTATTTCAGAGATACAGCGTTGAATTTCATCTTTTAAGGCGTCAATCGTTGCTTTGTTCACGTAAACTTGTGACTTTAAAAAAAGTCCAAAGGCGTTAAATCACATGATCTGGGCGGCCAATGTCGCCCAGATCCAAAACGATAAATAACTGCCGAACGGCCTTTTTCTTAATGTCTAATCATGATACAAAAAAATTTGCGCAATTCAAAACCGTCGTTCTTATTGGAACCCTTTATATTCAAGTATAAAAACATTTCCGAGAATAAAACAATAATATCTAAATTAACAAACATCTCGAGAGCCTTAACTTAATTATAACCAATGTATCTCACACACACACACCCGAAAATAAATTTAAAAAGTTTAACGGATATAATAAATAAAAAAACTAGTCAAATATAAATTAATGATAGCTGATCAAATACACTCGCATTGAATAACGTGAATGCAAATGACGAATAATGAACGTTAATAAATTAAACCAATTCTCGATGTATAAGTAACTTAATAGTTTTGTTCAATTCATATCGGGGTTCTATTATATATTCCTTAACTTAAAAGGAACTCTTTCCCACGAGCAAAATCTAAAAAAATAACATACTGAAACTTAAAAAATATTAACAACAATTGAAATTCAAGCACATCTTTGGATCTTGCGTCAATGACGAATTTTGGCATCACAGCTATAGTTGAAACAATACGTCAAATTAATTGATGATAATCAAGAATTGAACAAAAAAATTATTTCGAGCTATTTGTATCCCCTGTGATGTCTAGCAAATGCATACAAGTTATATGGTAAATGAAACAAAATTTACACGCTTATTAATACAAAAATATAACTATATCTTCAGGATGTGTTCTTCCATTTGAGTGTAAAGATGATTCGAACATACTTGATGATTTCTGCTAGTTATAAAGGCAATATTCGCTAGTTCAAAAGTCGAAGCGCCCACTGGCGGCTAATTATAACGACACTAGTAAAATTTGATACTTATTTTTATTAAATGCCATTGTGACTTATTTTGTTTAGATCTGCTCAGCTTTTGCAAGCTTGTAATGATAGAAATATATTGAAAAGTGTGTAAGTATTGTTTAATGTTATAGACTTAAACTATGTGATGTCAGGAAGGTATGAATAATGTATTCATGATTTTTGCAGTTAACAATGGTGAGTAATGTTGAAGTTTCGCAGCGCCCTCATCGGTAGTTGAACTAGCGAATACCCAGCTTATATAGCGGCTCAAAGTTGGACATTCTGAAAGATGATATTTGGCATATTCGAAACTATTCTTTTAATAGTCGCTACAGACGATGATCTGATCAGTTGTTGGAATAAAAATTATCCAGTATTATTATTTTTTAACAAAACCGATAAAATTCTAGTGAAGTAATAGAGAAAAATCATCAATATGAAGTAATCGTGGTTTTGAAACGATTTAAAAAACTAAAACACTTACCTTTTCATATATGCACATCAGTTCGCTGGATCTGTATTGACTACGAATACAGCAGCCTCTTTTAACTAGTACAAGTCCCAGGACCAAGACAATCACTAGGGCAATACATCCTATTATACCTAAAAATGTATAATGAGTTTAAACGAAAATTATATACATATGTATTCGTATATTCTGAAGAATGAATGTTGTTAATATGGGTATTTTACATAATCTGCAAAAGCTATTACTGAAAAATTATCAGTCGCCATGAAAGATAGAATTTGGCTCAATTAATCTGACAAACTCAAAATTCAATCATTTTCGCTCTCAATCTTTTGAAGATTTCAATAATAACTACGCCATAGATGATTTCTTTAAAACTACTTACTTCCGGGAACTAATAAACTAGACTTTGCCATATCCGGTATGAAAAAGTTGCAATACTCAGGTTTTGTGTAGTTAGAAGGCAACAAACATGTGTTCTCCTGAAATAAAAAAGTAAACAGTAGGTACAGAAAAAACTCAAAGTAAAAGATGTATATGACTCACTGTTAATGCAGGTTTCATGGTATTTGTGCATAAAAGGTAAATTTCATAGGACATATCTAAAACAAAAAGAAGTTATTTCGAAATATTAACAAAAATTATCAACGATATCATTAATAATATAAAGAAATTTTTGTGTTTCTTCGTAGCCTTGTTTTTTTGCTTAACGGCATGTAGCATTTCTGTCTCACTATTAAAAAGTTAATTGACTTTGCAATTACTCAGGTTTTCTTAAAGCTTCCAATTTCCCGAATTACAGTGTTTAAAAAAGATTACAATATCCATTATTTTTTAATTAACACTAAATAAAAGTAAATAAAGTTTGTCTATAGATAAACCCTTAATAGCAATAACAGAACAATGAGAAGAACTACTTGCAAATGAAATTGGAGAAAGAAAAGATTCGAAATTATTTAAGTTGTTAACAAAGATCCTTAAAACCTTTCTTAATAAATTTTATGATTGCAAAACGATCTAAATTGGGATGTGCCTTATAATTGCCTTATTTTGCGCAATATTGGTGCCAAAATCATTTTGGAAGAAGTTAACACAGATGTACAATGTGACACGAAAACTATGCAAAAGTTTAGTCAATAAAAAATAACAGATATTACAACCTTTTCTGAAGCACAAATTTCAAGAAAATCCTCATCATACAATTATTAATTCATCATCTACAAGAACAAGGAATTTGAAAAGTATTTGTAATAATTAAAAAATATAGTGGCATACCATTTTTTTTAACAAATTCGGTAGCGTGCAGGTACCCACGTCACTGGCAAAAATTAACAAAATTATTTTATTATTAAATCTCATTGGGATAGAGCCTTAAACGTCGCATTTTCTATATAAAACAACATTTGTGATTTTTTTTTACTTTTACTAAGAGTACGTTTCTTGACTCAGTTATAACTTTACCCAATTCAATACAAAAATGCAGAATTTAAAAGCGATTTAACAATTTGCCAAGATAGATACGAGAGGTCGTGTGAAAATCAACTTCCGTCGCTCTTAATAAACAATCAAAGTCAAACGTTCACACATCATTGCATGGTTTGTTAATGCGTTACTTAAATTTTGGTGGATCTGCGAACAATTGGACTCTGAACGAATCCAGCTAAAAAAAATTTCAATTTACATGAAAATTCTGCAAGCGATTGATCGGAGAGCGAGTATTTAATTAAGCATACAAAAGTCGCCGCTTGAACGGCAATGTTTGTTTATCTTTGGCCGAGAAAGCAACTTTGTTTAGGCTAAATATCCAAACCAATTGGATCGCGAACTGGAACATTCTAGAAAATTTTCAACGAAATAAAACTGAAATCGGACAGCATAGTAAACAATTGAGTCATCCGAAGGGCCAGCAAGCAAACGATTATATCATTATATAAGTTCTGTGGCTCGGTGCGTTTTTAACGCGATAAACACCTTAATAGTGTGTGAGTTTTTTGAGGAAAGCTGAACATTTAGTTCAGTCTATTATGGGCAACGGACGAAATCGGTCGCCGGAATAAACGGGGTAAATGTACCAATTTAGTGCGATTTAGGCAAGGACGGTCGATAATCTTATCTGTTAATTGCTGAGTGTAATCCACATTTATTTTCAACTCGTCTGGATATTCATTGTGAGGTCAACTGTAGTTTGTGCTTTTTGAGTATTAATAGATAGGTAATGGAGGATGGGGCACCAGTTCGCAGAATGAAGGTAAGAAGGATTATTAATTTATAAACCCATAACTTGAACTGAGTTTAGTTTTTCGAAAAACAATTAAAGTTTCATTCAGTTCTCTATTTCTTTTCAAACGAATAACGGGGTTTTAGTCTAAGTTTATGTAAAACTACAGATTGTCTTCTTTCTTTTCAGGTGGTATAATGGAGCTTTCGGTAAGTTTAGCATTGCTTTGCCATTGGCAGATGGCACGTTAAAACGTTGCTTGTGATCTTGGCCAAACCATTTAAATTTCACGTTGTTTCCCAAAATGAAAAAAATATATTTTTTGTTAAACGACTCGTGTTCGGAGTTTTCAGCGGCCAGGATCCGTCAAATTATTGCAGTTTTTCGCCGTCCAGTACCTTCCTAGGCTGTAAGTGGTCCAGATCAATATTTTTTAAATTGTCAATGAAATTTAAAAAATTATCATTAGTTGACATAAACCCAACACAAGGGGGAGGGGGGTAATGACCCTCCTCTGGGTCCACCCTTGACTACATTAGAGTTTATCATTATCATGATAAAGAATTGATAAATCAAGTAAAAAAAACAACTTACTTTGACCCACTTTACATGGTTGACTCGAATTGTAAACTAATTTCACAAAACGATACGTATCATTGAATATCGCTATTGGACAATATTTTTTCAAAGATTCCTAAAACAGAAAAATTGTGCAGAACTTAATTTAAAAACTAACATATTTAAAATGTACATAATAAACTTATAATATCATTGAGCTTAGGATATCGGTTTTTGAATCACTCAATGTATTCATGATTAAAAAATATGTACAGAAGCTCACATAGCACGCTTAAAGAAATTTGAGTTTTGAATTGTATCATCCAAAAACAAGAAAAAACGTTGTCCATCGAAAATATTACATAAAGAGCTTGTTCAGAATAAGAGATGCCCAGTTTTTTAGATCGATATGCACTGAGAAGATACAGTGCATAAAAGTTAAATTCACCTGATCCTCAACTTCTACTCTCTCGAATACAGACGTTTTATTAAAAACAAGTTTGTTTGAGACCCGCTAGAACTAGGGCAGTCAGTTTAACTAGCATATTATTTATACCCAGAATTTATTTTTAATGAACATTTCTCAGATTTTCTGTCAAAAAAGACTAGAAACATATTAAAATAATATTGAAATTCTAAATACATATACTTACATTATTGGTAAGATTGTAAGGGTTTAACAGCTTGTCAGTAAATGGACTTGTAAAAAGGCATTTGTTACGCTGGCTTTTTAAACTGGGATTGACCCTGTTTTCTACCGGAACTAAATTTCTCGTAATATTGTCTGCAAAGTGTAACTTTGCCGATTCTCTGGGTACACTATCATTCTGAAGTTATTAGAAAATATATGTAAACTTGCTACAAAAATAATACAAAAGAAATTCCTGGGTTCCAGTCAATTTTATTGTTTAGCATTTAAAATGTTACAAAAACGTTTCGGTGTTTTTCTCCACCATCATCAGTTTGTCTTCACATTTGGCAAGCCCTTAAAAAATCTTTGATTGAAAAAGAAAAGCAAATATTAAATGGTAAACAATAAAATTGACTGGAACCCAGAAATTTCTTTTGAATTAAGTTGAAATACAGTCAAGAAAATATACACAATACAAAAATAATCACAAAACTTTTCCTCACCTGAAAACGGCATACGTAACTAGTGTAATAATCAAGAATTATATTGCAACCGCTTCGTCTGAAAGGACCGAAGTGTTCATTATATGTAATATCCTCGCAAATGAAATTGAAAGTAACTTGATTAAAGTCATCAGTTTTTTTGCACGGAATATCCACAAATATGTCTAAAGAAGTCATATTGCTCAAAAAAGTTGGTCTAATATCGCCAAACTTAACATCAGTGCAATCTGAAACGAACAAAAAATACGAATTTGCACATTAATAATAATAATGACTTCATTGCAATTAGAAAGATGCTACAAAAGTGACGTCGAAGGTTATTCTTCCTCGCCTATCCCAAAATATTAATAACCTAATTAACAAAAAAAAATATGAACGTAATACCAAAGTTAACTAACTGATAATATTGATGATGAATTAAAAATCAAGATATAGACCTGAGCCAGATATATGTATCGGGAAAAGCTGTAATATCAAAGCCCAGTAGTCAGAAGTTCTATAATTTTACATTTAAAAGCAAAACACGGTAAAAAATATATTTTTCAAACATTTAATTAAATCAACGCAAAACACTGGATGCTATTAAAAATATTCACATAAAAAATATCCAAGCTGTATACAGGCCGGGTGTCGGAAACTAAGCTGACAAAAGAAGACATAAAGATTACTTGATACCGATTTGATCCAAGAATTCCTCTTAAAAGAAATAGGTTCATTGAAGATCAATAAGTTAATATGAACCAAATAAGCAAGCATCTATAAAATCAGAATTAAACACTTAAAATTTTTGTTTGTTGTCGACAACGATTATATCGTAGATATTACAAGCGAAGAACTCAGGTTACCAAAGGAAAATTAAAAACAAAAAAGCCGCAAGATCTGATGGCATACCCAATGAGCTCCTAAAATAAGAAGAAACACTTGAAAAAAAACCAAAACAAAGGTCCGTCTTTGAACTCTACTGCGGATTTTTTACTTCTCTTAGGAAACATTTTTGGATAATATTATTTAGATCAAAACCACATGAAATGATTTCTACAACCTACTATTTCCATTTGTATATCTAGTTTCCTCAATGATACTTCAATCGAATCTTAACAGAAAAATGACTATTAACAGATACATAGGAGAATGAAAACTGTAAATAACAAAATACATTGATAGAAACTTACTCTTGTCCGAAGCGCAGAAGGAATAAAAACGCTCACAAACATGAAATTCAGCGGTATATGTTCCGCCTACCAATTTTATGGGATGCACATGTTGCAAATGAATCCTAAAACATTTGAATTAATTGGGACTTAGTCGCCTACGGTACTATATGAATTTTTATACCTTATATTACTGCGTGAATCCGTAAACATGCATTGATAATATGGGCAGGCATGTTGTGTTCTCCAACGAAATTCATAATTGCAACGGTCTCTTTGTGGTAAAAGAATGGGATTTTCCTACGACGGTTTTACTTAAAAGAATGGCGACAAATAAAAAAAAATTGTATCAACTTACCTCAACTTGCGCACATTCAAAAATAATGGAACTGTGATAATCAGTTGGACCACAAAAGCTGCCAGTAATAAATAAAAGCTTTAAGTTACCATCTACCTCCGTATAGTCGTAATATTTTCCAAGCGATGTAAATCTGAAACAATTAAACGTTGATGTTCATTTCCTCAACGCATTGATTCAGAAAGTAAGATTTGATTTCACTATAATAATAACTGAAACGTTTGGTATGTAATCGTCTAATTTAAATATGAAATAACAATAGGTTTTTGAATCGCAAGTAATTTTTCAGTCAGTTCGAAAAAAGGGGCGCGCCTAATTATTTGGTAAATTTTAAAGACTTCCAATTTTTAGACTAATTATCCAATTTTAATATATTGGTCTTATTTATTTGGAGCTAAATCTTTCGGCTTCAAGGGTAAGAAATGTTCGTCCTTCACTTCCCATGACCAATAATGGAGAAAAAAACCATCGAGAGGAAACTTTTGTCTTTTTAGTCGTTACTTCGTTTTAAAAATTATCAAGCCTTTTTTCATAAAGTAAAAATATTTAATATTTGCTGATATCTAATAATGCAGTTTTTTGTATCTTAATCCTGTTTTTCGCTACATTCGTGATTTGGTGTTTGTAGTTTGTGTAAAATTTTAAATCTAATGATTTGTTGTCTCGCCGAAACGTAATGAAATAAACGTTTCAAAAATTTTTAATTCACACTGACTGAAACCCAGGAAAGATAGGAATATTATAACAAGTACACGCAGTCAGGAAAATAAATCAGAATTGGTAAACTGTGCGTATTTGTGGCAATATTTGGGTTTGTTAATTGCTGTAGTAGTCACACTCAGTTGTATTGAAATATTCCGAAAGATATCTAGTGTTTACAAATATTAGCACTCTTATTAAAGATTTCGTCAATTGTACATACTTTTTCCGAATATCAATTTCACTAGTGTTTATCATAGCCAGCGACACTGTTGTCGTGCAGGGAACGTCTTTATCAATTACAGCACCGCATACATTAAATTTAAACTCTAGGTTTTTATCTTTCAAAGTGTGCGTTTTATCTAGAGAAGATAGATTAAAATATTTCTCTCCATCGCGAAATATACAAGAGGAATGCTGAGGTGCCATATCGGTACAATGCGATGCATTCTGCAAAAGAGCTATAAGTAATACTGCAAAATAAGTCGATTTCTATCTCTTATTACTCACGTATTTTGGACAAGCGTGGGGTGATTTCCAGAGGAAATACGTGTAACACGAACCGGTTTCTAGGAACCTTGGTCCATGCTCTTTTTCATCACAACTGAAATTTATTTGGGTTTTCCAATACGGGTTTTGCGTATAACTTGAATTCATACATTTTGATTTTCCTGAATGGTGAAAAATGAATGGAAGAATTATCAAAAATTAATATCTTTTTTAAGGAAAGATTGTCCTTTTATTTTTTTTAAAATAATATAATACTCTATAGTTCTTTCTACTTCTCTCTTCTCTCACTTTCTATAGTTCTTTCTAGTCTTGCACCCCCTGTATTTACTACATACATTACATTTACGTTTTATTGGTAAATAAAACATACATGCTTACAAGTAAAAGAAATCATAGGATATCAAAAAAAAATTGTTTACACTTAAAATTGTGTTGCTGCAAAAATTGCGGATTTAAATGCCTGAAGAACGTGGTAGTGCTATTTTGATCATATACTTTATTAATATATTTTTATTAAATTTGAAAATTAATCCCATTCGTTTAGTGCGGCCTTGTAATTTAAAAATTGGTGTGGCTGACTACTTGAGAAACCAAATTTTGAATCTTTATGTGCATTTGTCAATAAATCCTCCTATATTTTGACGAATTATTATCTCATAAAATTATTCGCATTTACTAAGGAATACTCTGTATGATGTGTTCAGGCACCTTTTAGTATAGTTGTTAAGAAATTAATTTTTCAATAAAAACTTACCTATAATTGTAACTTCGACAAAGCCCTCTTTTGATATTCCCGAACTTAAGACAGAGGTTCCTTTGTTTATATCTATCCCATTTAGAGTTTCTGTTACTTTCGAGAGGGGCTCTGCAAAAGATATGTCTTTGTCTATATTTCTCGCAAGTTATTTTTCTGCTTAGAATTTCTTTTAGAAGTTTCTGGAGTCTAAAGATGTCACTTTTACGCGTAATGCAATTTTTTACCCTTCAAACAATACTATAGACATTTTTGATACAAGGGCGAAAAACGATTTTTTGATTTTTTGCCATCGTATCATTTTTATGTGCAAGAAATAACCCGAATAATAGCCCCTATTTGAGAATAAAATCAGTTTGATGTAGATTGATTATCATGCATTTTTTTCTGTTAATTCGCATTTATTTTCTTCTTGCGATTTTAAAAGATCGCTGCATAATACTTTTAAGGTATTGGGAAATTTATCAACTTTGTCGTCTGATAACCACATTATAAAGTAATCCACAAAATATATTCAAAATATAAAATTATAATTTAAATTAGTTGATATGCTCTTCTGTAACCCTGGTTAAGGAAAGTTTATTTTTGACAATGATTTCTCCATGTTTTTAGAGCATCTATGAAAAATACAAGCTTGCTGGATGCAATGCTCTGATTCTTTTAAGATTATGATTCTTTTCTTAAATTATATTGACACATTTATACTAGTTTCAATTATCGTAATGTCATGGTTTTATATAACGCATACTTAGTTAACACTTTCGAAAAATATCGCATTAATCAAGTACTTACTTGGCAGATGTCCTGGACCACAAAAATGTATGTAATAACTGGTTTCATTTGTGAGCGGCAAATCATCAACAGTTAATATATCTCGGCTCTCGAAGCACACATTTGAAACGTTAAAGATTAAATGGTTTTGTTGAATCTTAAAATAACCATGTATTTAAGAACTACCTGAATGCAGGCTGATTCAGAAGAAAGTGAAAATCTAGGAAGTGTCAAAATAAGCTCATATATTTCCCATTCCCAAAGTCCCATTTTCATTTGTTTTGTTATTAGCTATTTTTTTTTATTGTTTCACCTTGATTTCCATTGTCATTTTGGTTTTGATGAGCATAATGTGTTCCACGAACAGTTATTTATGGAATTTATTCATTCTTTATATCACTGATTGTGGAAAATAAAATCACCTGAACACTACGACAGAGATAAAAAAACAAAGTGCATAATGAATTAATTGCAAATTAAATCTAAATTAACGAAGATCCAACAAAAAAATTGACTATATGAGAGTGTTTTAAGAAGGAATTTAAAAAGTGAAAGCTTTTGCGCGATCAGGATCAGGATGATAATTGTACAAGAGGAAAGTGTGGTATTAGATCAGGAAATGATGTCTAGAGGAAGTTCATCAAACATTGAAAGTGAAGAAAGATCATCAGATGCTGTTCCTTCTATTTTACCCGCAAAATTGTTAAATTAACAAATTTTAACGCAACCCGCAACATTAAAAAATTTTGTGAAAACAAATGGCTTCAGCTTTTAAATTACTCGTCATAAAATAATCTTTAAAACGCTTTTTGTGTGTAGCAATTTTATCTGACTCAATCTATATGTTGCTGCGTTTTCTTATTTTCAAGTAATTTTACTGAGTACTTTCGACAAACGCTGGATCCAGTTTCCTGGATTTTTGTCTTTGGGGATGGATAAAGTTCGCATTCGAATGCCGCAACGTTCACTAGAGCAAATAATACATCAATTTATAAACACGAAAGGAAAATAAATTTTTGTTAGTTTCGAAATGAAAATTAATAAAAGTACATATCTGTAAATCTAAACCGAATATCGGACTTGAACGTACGAGCTTATTTTACTTATTCCGACTTCCTACACATCTTTAAAATATTTTAATTTCCTTCTGAATCACCCTACATAAATCAAACAAATTTGGTGAACACCTAATTATTATAATTATTGCCAATAGAAGGCGGTTGACCCCGAATATTATTGTAATGTATATTTATAGGTATATTCGTAAGATGTGTAGGTATAATAGAGAGAATCAGACAGTTGTTAATAATATGATGATATGATGCTAATGAAATATCGACTAAGTACATTTTAAACAATTACATATTGACTTTGACTAATTACAAACTTGCCATATAAATTATCTACGTAAACTCAATTTAAAAGACGTGGTTTTGATCAAAAGTTGAATGTATATTGTTAAATTGAAATCTGACATAAAAGTTCACATGTACAGTATATACTTACCACCCAATTAATTGTGTGCGAAATACATCCTAATGCCGTCTCCAATTTGAACCAATATTTTTTTCCTTGGTTTTGTTGTGGGACAAAAGTAAGATCATTATTTTGCACGGCAGTCTTATCCCAGTTGCAAACTAAGTCAATTTGAATCTTTCTTTCAGCTAAAAAATTCGAAAAATCTTAACATTCAGTAAATAAAGTGTGTGTCTTAAGCCGTCATATGTTTTAATATAAATAAAGTTGCTTTAATAAAACCCTGATTGATATTTATCGCCACAGCTAAATAACTTGCTTTCCGAAATTGTTCAAAAAACAATTTATTTAGAAACTACAACTTTTCTCAAATGGTAGGAGAATTAATTAACTGAAACTTACAGGGTAAACAGGGTCTGCTTATCTACTAATGATAATATATCATGTATTCAAGAGTTGCATATGGTTTGTATAACTAAGGCTTAAATGTAAATAAATAGTATAAATATCATATCATAGATTCAAATTAAGTTCGGTATACATAGTTCAGATAATAACTCATGATCATTGATAAATGAAGATGAAAAAATTGGGGTAAAGTTGGGGATGGTCGATATACGAGAGTATATAAAATATAAACAGGATGGATGTGTTTTTTAATTTTAAATGGTTCTTAGACATGGGAAAAATGGTGTTTAGGTAGTTCTAGGCTGCTAAGGAATAGACACGACTCAAATTCCGTCAGATCCTAACAATATTAAAGGAACCATGAGCGAATGTATATGGATATAGCCAGATAAGGTCCGGACTTGTCACCTTGTGATTTTTCGTCTTTTTGGACCCCTGAAACAAACGCTTGGAGGCCAGCCGACCAAGTGAAAAGCTCAATTTATAAGAGGGAAAGTGACGAAGAATGTATTGCCTGATACTGTTATCTTAATTATAATATCTTAATGGTCTGATAATGTTCAGGAAAAAATGTTTTTTTGAAAAAACTTTTTATACCGACCAGTTTTATGATTGACTAGCATTATGTAGAAAAATTGTAAATATGTATTTGCAACTGTTTAATCTGAAGTTGATGTGATCATCACTTTACCTTTTTTGTAATTTTCCGAATATCTACCAGAAAAAAACAGCAAGTTTTTCTCTCCGTTATACATAACGGAAAAATGTGAATCTTGTGACAAAGGTATTGGACCATCTGCGTCTAGTTGACAAGCATTAACGTTTTCAGTTGCTAATTGTTTGTTCCGGCACGACGGTTCTGTTCGATCAATGTTAATACTGAAATTTCTTGTCGGTGTTTGAATTCGATACGATCTTGCTAAAGGGGTTAAATCAATGAATTCGCCATATATTGTGATTCCTCTGTTGACCAAAGGTTGTCGCATGTCTATATGAAATTGGCATTGGCCATCAACTTTTGATAAAATAGGTCTTTTCTGGAAACAAAAAAATATATATATTTGACACTTTTATTAGAAAGGGACATTTATATAAATATATCCAAATTTGTACCAGAGAAGTTATCCCTTAATCACATGATCAGAATGGTACTGCGACATTTCTTGGCTCAAAAAAATACGACTATCTTATATTAAGAAAATATATCTGGCTCCTCTGCTATAGATAGAGTAAACAGAAATATTTTTTGCGCAAAAACTATGAATGCTACAAGACAACAGAGCCCAAAAATACCAAAAAAGCATTACTGCATCAACTCAAAAAAAAAATCAGTTGATTTCAGCAGAAAGATAAAAAGTTCTGGCAGTTCTTGTACTAAGACACTGAAAAATTCACCGCCTGCCCAAAACAGATGAACTTGTTTGCTTCATAAATTATGAGTCTTACATTTTTCCGTATCTCTCGATATTTCAAACACATTTTTTTCGAAAAAACTTTAACCATTATTTTGATTTACTTTCCTGACTGCGTGTAATTGTTATTATATTATTTTCTTTCCTGGGCTCCAAAGTGTGAAACAAAAATTTGTATATTGTTCATTTCACATTTTGACTGGAGCCCAGGAAAGAAAATTATTTAACCATTATTGCAGAGAAGCCACATACTTTTTATTAATAAAAGTTTGGTTCATCCAGGTCGTGTTCCCTTTCGACCATGCGTTTACGGAACACCCTGTATATTTTTTTCCGGTAATTCAGTGACTAAGAGCAAATGGACGCTTCTATAATATGTAAAAAAATATTTTTGCTCAAGTGTGTTCCATTAATATAACGATAAACTTTGACGGGTGGTAAAAGACATCAAAGCACACATTTTTGCTTCACATATTTACTGCCCCTCAAATTTGCCGCATCGCTTAAGTACTTCCTAACTTTTCACTTTTAATATTTTCTCAATCAATAATCTCTTTTGAACAATTATTTGATAGAATCATCGCTCTATTCTTGGACAAAATTTAGGCTATAAGAGAACCAAAAAATTAAATATACATATCATGCAGTGTTTAGCATTTTTACCACTTTTAGGAGCACAAATGTTATGTTTTTTTGGTCAAAGTTTAAATCTTTCTGCAGAGAGAAAAAAGTATTCGATGTTAAAGCCGTCTTCTGTACCTTCCGAGTTATTTGCATATTTAATCGACTAAGCCAATCAAGAGGTTTTCATTTTTATATGACCAGTTACATTTTCCGCGCTTTCTTCATTTGCGAAAAATTTGGAAAAAAGTCTGTGCGAACATCATTTCATTACAAATTGATAGCTCCGTTTATTTTGTCAATCGCCCTGCTCAGTCAATTAAGTTGCTAAAGTTTTCGTTTTTCTACGGAAAGGGTATTTTTGTTTTCCGTCTAAGAATATTAGATTTTTCCGTTCGAGTTCTCGCAGTTTGCAAAACATTTGGCTCAAATTTGCAATTCTACGTTACGTTTCCAAGTCATCTCGTTCAAAGTGTGAGAATACACAGGGTAGTATATTTTTTTGGGGTCAGGCCTCCCCGAAGCTTTCTGTAGTACGCCACTGAACTCAAAAACAGTTTCGTAAATTCCTCGCTCAATTTAGAAACTATTTTGTCTCTTTCATTTCTGTCGTGAATGCCAAAGAGTGAGAGTTATTTTCAAAAGTTTCTTGCTTGGCGCAAATAAAATAAAAAGCACTGTTAATTAACGTATCATTAATTTTTCGTCAGAGCAAAAAACTACAACTTTTTAAAAATTTTAACTCGTTTTTACTCACATGGAAATGAAGGATAAATGTTGTTTTCAAGTCCTCTACCTTCCCCAAAAGTTTGTCGGTATATTTATCGGGTTTCCGTATGGATATTAAAAATCCTAGACGTTTTATTAATAATAACATAAAAGTAAGGTAAGTTGGGGTAAGTGCAGCCTCACGTTCCAAGAGTACAAATTTGTGAATTTCAAGCATTAACTAGGTCAATATTAAATGTACAGAAACACACATATTTTTCATGTAGGACTGCGCACTTGACAAGTAAATTTAGAGCAAACGCGAATTCCTTTTCTATTTTGCCATTGCACAGAACTATGATGTTTGTGGTGCAAGATCGGATAAAGCGCCTTTTTGTCGAATTTTTTTCTAAGAAACTTTTGGAGGTCTAAACTTTTCTATGATTTAAAAAAACAAAAATGTTTATTCAACTTAAACAGGGCAAATTGGTTATACCTAATAAAGTCTAAAAAACTATTCTTAATTCAGATTTTATATACTCCTTTATCACGTTGTTTCAGTATTATTATGTCGAAAGGTTTTCATTCCTTCATCTCGCTGTGTTTTGGAGTAAATCGAACACTAACACTGCTATCATAATGCGAAAAACGGAGTAAATAGATTTTCATATTCTTAGACCAAATGTCAATAAATTATGAATGCAAATCGTTTATGCTCATTAGATTTTCTTAAATTCTACACTGTTTTTGCAAAAAGTATTAACTTTCGAATACTGCTGGCTCTAGAGCCATTGGCATCATTTCAGCTGTAATTTAGCATTCAAATTGCCCACCGGATCTTCCGGATCACCGGATAATTTAGCAAAAAAACAAGTAAAAACAAATAATTTTTGAGACAAAATCAATAAATGATTAAAATAAACTTACCACTGAACCATTAAAATGTACTACCAAAGAATATTTTTCTTTCGCTGTGCACTTATCGCTGTTAATTGATATAGCTGTACCATTTTCTGAAAATCGAAAAACAGTCCCTTACGTAAATATAATAAATTTTTCACAAATAAATAGATTTTCCAACACATCCCAAAGTATCAGAATAACTTACTAGTAGTCGTGAACGCCGTTCCTAAGGAAAATGCTCTGTTTGTGTTAAGATTCATTAAACATGCAGCACTGTCCGACTTACAGCCATCATAATGTACATTCAAACTTTTGCAAAGATCGAAAATGATTCGATAGTTGGCACTTGTCACATTTATAAAGCTGAAACAAATTTTATCAAATTATTACACATATTAAAATAGATAGAATTAAAAATACATGCCGGAACCATTTCGGTAGGTAACTTTAAAGGTTATCAGACTTTGGCTACCCCGTTAGAAATGTGCTCACATTATAGATAATAATTAATACCAACGTTTCGTTTTTACCTTTGTGCATTGCAAAATCTTATAGCATTCATAGTTTTTGCGCAAATAAATTATCTGTTTTTGCCAATTAACAATTTTAGACATTTATTGCAAATATCGTGGCACATTATCGCAAAACATTAAAACTTTGACAATGTCGGTTATTTCTTTGCTACAAAAAAGGAATAATTTTTAGACGCAAAAACTGCATGCTAGTAGTTACGCCATCAGCCCAAGACACCTTCCCACAGTTCCCACGGACACAGCCAAGTCAGCGGCCAATTCCAGGGAAACACATATTTCCGTTCTCA